ATAACATAAGAGATCTTTTTGAGATGCTTTTCAAAAAAATCCTTCAACAAATTCCAAAATCAGTTTTTTGGTCCAGAACAAAAAAATAGAACTCTAAGTGCATCTCCAATGGTTTCTAAAAAATCACTTGGTAAACTAATGAGTTTTTCAAGTGACTAAAAAAAGTCGGGAGCATATTTGTTGGTTTCCTCCTACAGTTTCTAAAATCTCGCTCCTAAAAGATAGAAGGTAATTTTACACCAGAGATCCCGAACTATTTATAAATTAGCCCAACCACTTTTATACTTTCTTTCTCTTCTGTACATTTGTATCAGCATCCCTGTCCTACTTATTCTTTCTCAAATCCTTCCACCTTAGATTGCCGTGGTGGATACACGTGCGTATTTATCTGCACGATAGGGTCAACTTTTCCAGGTGTCAAAAGATTGAGAGGTGGTGTTGGGAGTTGTTAGAGATGTATTTTTTTAATCTTACAAAAAATCATGGCTATGAAAATTGTTTTGGGAACTTTTGAAGATGCTCTGATAGCTCATTATCATCAGTCCCATCTTTCCTCGAGGCACAAAAATCCCTCGTGACTCGCTAAGTTTCCATGTCGCTCGTTCCTCCTAATCGAGCATTTCCTCTTCCTCTCGCATGCATGTATTCCGCAATCAATTCTGTAACATCTTATTGCTCCTAGCCCGCTCCTCGTTGTGCTCTAAACAATTTTTTTGGATTCGTCGTGTCCCAATCTATCTCTAGTATTCTCAGAATTTTTAGAAACTTCAAAACATTTTCTATGGTTTGAAAACCTTATCAAGTGTTTACCGGATTTTTTAGCTGAAATATACAAAAGGCAGAGAGGTAACTTGAACGGCTTTTTTGATAAACTTGAATGGTTTAAAGAGTTGTTCAACGGGTCACATAGATATAGGTTTTAGAATTTCAAGAGGAAAACAGGTCTACGATAATAGTTTAGTTAGTTAAAATAGACCTTTTCATAAGTGAAACATGCTGGGTGGGCCTTCGCATCTGCCAGCCTTGGTGAGCTAGTGCAAAGGCTTTTGTGTCATGGCCATGGTGTGAGGTCGAGATGGCGGACTAGAGGAGGGTAAATAGTGTTTTCTAAAATTAATCGCGTCGGCTAACAGATATAAATGCGGAATTAAAACAATCGGTCTAGCCAAGACTACACCCCTCTATATATATTCACTAGCACCTTGCAAAGATACTAATAAAGCAACTAAGGTGCCGGGCTAGCTAGAGCTCTCCTAAACAATTCTAGGAGCAAGGTTACACAAACCTATGCCACTAGTATTTTAAGTAACAAGGGAGCTCCTACACATGCTAGTAAGCAAAAGCACAAAGCTAACAAAGCTCACTAGCAATGCTCAATAACAAGGCAACCAACGCCTAATTAGAGAGCGCAAATACTTAGCTACACAAACTAAGCAATGTGACTAACAAGGTTACTAAAGCCAAATTAGCCACGCAAGGGAGCTACTTCTATGCTACACAAGCAAGAAGGTAATTAGCTAGCTACACAAGCTATCTAATTACAAGAGCAACTACACAAGCTTAAGATATATATATAAGTAATTGCAAGCTTGTGTAATGGGGATGCAAACCAACGGGAAGAACAAGGTTGACACGATGATTTTTCTCCCGAGGTTCACGTGTTTGCCAACACGCTAGTCCCCGTTGTGTCGACCGCTCACTTGGTGGTTCGGCGGCTAATTAGCATCACCCGCTAAGCCCGCACGTCGGGCACCGCAAGAACCTACCCCTTGAGTGAGGGTAGCTCAATGACATGCTTTACTAAAGTTGCTCTTCGCGACTCCCGCGGGGCGAGCACAAGTACTTCTCCGGAGCGCCGCACAAGCTTCTTGCGGGCTTCGACGGAGACCACCACCAAGCCGTCTAGGAGGTGGCAACCTCCAAGAATAACAAGCACCACCGGCTTGCAACACGACCACCTAGTGCCACTCGATGCAACCTCACGATGCAATCGCACTAGAATCGCTCACTCACACAATCGAATGATCACTATCAAGTATATGTGTGATGGAGGGCTCCCAAGCACTCACAAGCATGGACACTAAGTCCCCTTAGGTGCTCCACACCAGCCATGGCCGAGGGCCACTTCTATTTATAGCCCCAAGGGCTAAACTAGCCGTTACCCCTTCACTGAGCAACGGTCGGGCCGACCGGACGCTTCGATCGTGTTGACCGGACGCTGGACCTCGGCGTCCGGCCGCCTGCAGACGACCACGTATCCCGATTCCAACGGTCACTTGACTTGACGACGCAGCAGAGTTTTTCAACCGACCGGACGCTCAACCCCCAAAGGTCCGGTCGTTTCGATGAAGTACCAACCTCGACCGGACGCGTCCGGTCACACATGATCGGACGGCGACCAGGCGTCCGGTCACACTCCACTTTCTGCGTCAGTATAAAATACTGACCGGACGCAGCGACTGCCGTCCGGTGCATTGAGATCCGGCGTCCGTCCGGATGACCGACGCCAAAGATCTTCAGCGACTAACTTGCTTTTCACTTCTAACTTCATCACCCTTGCTCCAATGTGCTAACCACAAGAACTTGCATCCGGCGCAATAGAAAATAGGCATTCTATTTTCCTGAAAGCGCCGAATCCCGCCTCGCAAGCTCGGCGGGAGGGAGAGAGGGACCCAAACCCATCTCACCCCTGCAAACACCACCACCTTTGTAAATGTGCCAACACCACCAAGTGTACACCACCATGTGTATGTGTGTTAGCATTTTCACAATCATTTCCTAAAGGATGTTAGCCACTCAACTTGCCACGCCACTCGATCCTAGCGACAATGCAAAGTTAGATCACTCGAGTGGCACTAGATGATCGATATGCAAACAAGTTTGCCCCTCTTGATAGTACGGCCATCTATCCTAAACCCGGTCATAAACTTCTCTACACACCTATGACCGGTGAAATAAAATGCCCTAGGTTATACCTTTGCCTTGCGCATTCCATTCCATCTCCTTCAATGTCGATGCAACACATGCACCAACACGATCAACAATGATATGATCCACTTCATATCATCACATGATCATATTGGTTCATCGATCTTGACTCTACTTGCTCTTCACCGTTGCTATCGTCCATCGGCGCCAAGTCTTGCTCAAGCTTCACCGCCACGCGGTCCATCACTCCAAAGCCTTTGACTTGCCCTTCACGCTTGCAACCGGTCCATCAAGCCAAGTCTTGTCTTGATCTTCTCCACCTTGATCACATGACTCAATGTCATGTCTCATGTGCAATAAGCTCCTTCATCATCACATGTGTGAGCTTTGCAACATCTCCAAGCCATTTTCACCTCCATGGCATATGTTGCTCATACACATGTACCTGTGGACTAATCACCTGTGTATCTCACATAAACACAATTAGTCCACCTAGGTTGTCACTCAATTACCAAAACCAACAAGGACCTTTCACATGGTTGGGCCAAGAATACGCCCTCCGAGGATCTGCGTTCGAGATGTCAATGGGGACCTGATCCCCGATTCCCCACGGGGAATTCCCCTGTTAGGGGATGGGGATGGGACTAAATTTATCCTCACGGGAAACTAAATAGGAGAAAATCATTCTCCGTCGGGTCTGGCGGGGGCGGGTCTGGGAGCCTGTCCCCCGTCTCCGTTAATCCGCGTCCCCGCTTCCTCACTACTCATCACAGCCTCCAGCTCATTCCTCGGCCCATCAGCCCAACAAAGCCCACGTAAGCCACATATATATAGAAAAACCTAGGTCTCCTACTCTGCCTCCCTGCCGCCGCACTTCGACTTGAGCCGCACTCCCTCTCGCTCTCGTAGTCTCGCACTCCCTCCACCTTTCATCGGCCGAGCAACTGCCGGCCCCCGGCGGCGTGGCCGCTCCAGCAAGGGAGAGGGCGGGTGGCCCAGCGGCGCGGCTGCCCCACCACGTTCAATCCCGTGTGCGTCGGCTTGAACCACTGGCCCCTGCTCCTCTCTTCTCCGCCTGCAGCTCCGCCCGGTTCCTGGCCCTGACAGCGTCGGTCGCCTCTTCCTCTCTGTCGGCGGCTGCGCTCAGTGGTGGTTGCCCCTGGACGTGGTGCTGCCGGTGCATCGCCTCTTCCCCTTCGTCAGCGACGGCGGCTCAGCTGGCCGGCCGGATCTCGCGGTACCTCACCCTCTTCTCCGTTTCGTGCCTGCTCCCCCAGATCCTCCATCCCCCCTCTTCTCCGTCTCGCTGGATTTTGTGACGGGGACGGGGACCGGCGGGGATAAAATCCCCGCACGGGGACGGGGATGGGTGAGGAACTTCCCCGTTGGAATTCACGGGGATGGGGATGGGGAAATTTTTGCCCCACGGGGACGGGGATGGGAAGCAGTCCCCGGACGGGGAATTCCCCGTTGACATCTTGAATCTGCGTGCACCTGTACCAGTATCATTGGATTTAATTATAAATTTATAATCCATCTAAATAAAATCACTGGATTTAATTTGCTCAGATGTAGAGGTGGAAGTAGTATATCTCATCAGAAATTAGATATGAAAATAACTGAGGGCTCTGGGAATTGTAACTAAATAAAAAATAATAAAAAAAAATAGAATCCTTCCCGGGATGTCAGATGTGCATGTGCCAAAGGCACCGGAAAACTCAGTCACGAGAAGCTGCAACCATGACACTGACAAGCGGGACCTGTGCCTCCAGGCGAGGTGGGGCAACAATGACGCACCGGTGACGCCCAGCTAAAAATTGCAGTTAGATACTAATTGATGAATCGTACGTGAAAAAATGTTTATAGCAATGGCATAAATTTTCTTATAGGAGCGGCTGACGATGGAGTCGTTCCTACAGTGACCATGCTTGGGAAGCCAAAGACCAACCGTCTCTATAAATAGAACAGCAGGAACGATTAGTGATATAAATCATCCGTATAAATAGATCTAATTTACATCTAATTTATAGGGACGACTGAAACAGCGGAGACAGCTGGTGAATACGCCACACCTACGAATACCCCACGTACAACGAAACACCCAAAAATATCTGCAGCCCTCCTCCTCTCTCTCTCTCTCCGTCTCGACTCTTCCATTCCCCTCCGTCTCTCTCTCTCGCCCTCGCTCGGATGGCCGCGGCTCCTCGCCCGCCCGCGCGGCGCGGCAGCGCCCCCCTCGCCCGCTCCATGCCGCGTCCCTCCCCCCACTTCTTCATCCACCGCCCCAGGTTCCGGCCATCGTCGGCCCCGGGCTCCGCCGGTTTGGCTGTCGGTGCTGTTAGATCCACCGGGTGGAGCTCGTTTTGTGTTCTAGTTGCGTCTTCTTGCTGCCGCTGCTTGAGGCATCTCTCATCTACGGGGAGTTCGGAGCCTTCCTTGGCCCGTGCGTGATTCTTCGCACCCGAATCTTGGTTCTGCTCTTGCTCCTCGCTGGCTGCCGAGGGTTTTGGGGAGCGTCTTGCTTCTTGGAGTTGGAGGTTTGTCAGAGCTGAATCTTGCTCACCTCGAGTAAAACCAGCCATCTTCGGATCTTCCCTCTCTTCATCTCGCGGGGGTTCTTCGCCATTTCGGAGTTCAAATCCCACCTGGGATTTCGTCGGCTGCTTGGGTTTGCTCCGTGTCGCGCGAGTTTTGGTGAGAGGTTATTCCTGCATTTAGTGGAGCTGGTTCTCATCTGCTCCTCTCCTCCTCCATTATTGTTTGTACCGAATCCTATTTCAGGGTTTCGTTTGATTTCGTTCGTTTTCTCAAACTTTTTGGGCCTATTTGTTCCTGGTAAACTTTGTTGAGCACTGCTTGAAGCAGATTTGCAATTAGCTCTGCATTGGCAGCTACATTGTCGAGTATGTTACTTCTTTTATGAGCAGCTGTCTGACTGTAAATTCTGCATTTGATTTACCAGGATGCACTGTGACTTTCTAAATGGACAGCTGCATTTGGACTGAAGTGGATGCTTAATCAGGTACTTTAACTATGGCTTTCTAAATGGAAAAATACAGCATAACATGAGGAGTCCTTGCCAACGGTGACTACCACTGTGTTATATATCCGGTGGAACATGGGCAAACCTTTTTATATGATCTATTTTCCTTGCCAAAGTTTGGATTCTGTAAGAATTATAGCTAGAATTCAACTCTATTATACTGCACATATGGATGTTTTTCTCAAAGCTATGGCCTATGTGCCAACTGCCAACTACTAACATGCCTACAGGTTGCAGTTCTTAAAACTGTGTACTAAGCAAAATTCACAATCCAAGCTCGTTAACACTTAACAATGATGATCCATGTTGAAACTTGTTCTGCTCCTTTTTATTAGAACAACTGGAGTTATGCTTATGCCTACCAGATGTTAAATATATGCCTGGCTCATAACTTCCAACATTATGTTTTCCCAGGGAATTTTGGAAAAAACTGAAGATATAGTTGGTTATTTGAACACGAAGGGTGTCTCTGTGATATTTCTGTTCAGGAGAAACACGTTACGCAGGCTTATATCTGTGTTGGCCAACGACTACGACAAAGATGCAAAGCAGTTGAATGGAACTCACAAGTCTCATGTTCACTCAATAGAAGAGGTAATTTCGATGCGCAAACAGTTTCAAACAAGTTTACTGGCATAGCTTTGTTCTGTTGGTAAGTCGAGAGAGAGAGAGAGACACACAGAGAGAGAAGCTTTGTTCTGTTGGTCCCCCTTTTGAGCATAGTGCTGTCCACAGCTCATTTTACATGAGTTGTGGCTTAGTACATATATCACTTATTTTATGGCAGCTTTGTGATTTTGATTAGACACTGGTGGGTAAAAGATAAACTGCATGTAAATATGACACATGCAGGTTTGTGAAAAGCTAGTAAGCAGTAAATACTAGAGTATAGAACAGATAATAACATTAAAAGTGTAACTGGTGCTGCCCTATTTAACCACAAAGTGTGGGTGCTGTCATTGTGCAGTGAGTATATGACTTGTGTCATGGAAGCCCTCAAGCTAGAAGACACGATAAAAAATTATGAACGCCGTGATGCTAATGGATGGTGAGTTTATTGATCTTATGTTTGCAGTGTAATCTCGTTGCCTTAAAAATATTGTTTGCAAGTAGCATTTCAATCTTATAGGAATATTATTTTTGTCTCATTTGATTATATTTACATGATGATACCTTTTGGGAGTTTGTTTTTTTCCTTTTGTATCTTAGTGCTGCATCTGTCAAATAAATTATGCCAAGTGATATATGATCATCATGAGGGAAGACTTAATGTGTAAATTAGTAAATTACAAAAAAAAGAGCAAATTGTGTGCTGCCTGTACTCTTAACAGTTCTACATTCTACAAAAGTTTTATACTGCAAGCAATACTGCTAACCAAGAATACTTGAATATTGGCGAATTGTCCAATTGCTATTGATGCTTGTGCTTGTCAACCTGAAGAACTTCACAGACATCAATTCTATTCTTAGTAACTGCTTGGAAAACTCTAAGCAATATGTACTGCAAACAAGTTGTGCTTATCCAGGATTCTCTGATAGACGAACCAATATTAGTATTGATCTACTTTTTTTTAACAGGAAATATGTATCAAGTTTTAGAGAGAGTCGTTCGGGCAAAATTGGATCAATTTTGGACACTATTGGTATTCTTCTTACCTTCACTGCAGTTTTTTTGGTTTTCATAATTGCTTACAACAAGCATCTCAGTTAGGTTATATTCTTACTTTCTTGGTAAATTTATTATATGTGGTTAACATTTGATGGAGCTGACTCAAGGATACTTTGTTGCATTTCCAGAGTTCATTTGGCGCTGTATACTGAGAAAGCAGCTTCAAAAAGCATTTGCTGTTATCCTTGGCTGTATGTCAGCTGCTATACTGTTGGCTGAAGCTACTTTACTTCCAAGTGGTGTTGATCTATCTCTCTTTTCTATTCTTATAAAAGCTGTAGGAAAGCAAGAGGTTTTAGTTCAGGTAAGGAACTGAACACTTTATTTAAAAACTTACAAGTGATTTTCTACCTCCCCAGCTTACCAAAAAGTTTTGTTAATTGTGAGGCTGACTACCCTCTGCAATACTATCTTGTCTTAGTGATGACATTAGATAATTTATTTGCATAGGACACAACAATCATGTTCATCTGTCACCAACTGATTATCCAGTCTCATATCATATTGCTGTCTGTGAATTTAGATGGTTCCAACACCACCAGCAACGATAACTTTGATGAAGATGACTTGGAAGACAAACACCTGCTTCCGATGTCTTCTGTTGGTCAAGACACAATTGTAAAAGAAGTTCACAGATGAATGTCTGATGAAGCCTTACAGGGACTTCTCTCTGTATTCTAAAACGCAATGGGTTTCAACACTCAAATGTGTAGCTTGTCATTCATTATGTACATTGTCATTGTATTTTAAAAATGTAATGAGCTTTGTCTGTTCTGATCTGATTTGGGGGAGCACGTGTTGTTAATTTGATTTTTTTTTTGCCGGAAAAATACACTGAAGGGGCGGCCGGTACTGTAGCCACCCCTACAAATCGATTTTGTAGGGGCGGCTCGTGTTACTAGCCGTCTCTACAAATCGATTTGTAGGGGCGACTGATAATACTAGCCGCTTCTACAAATCAATTTATAGGAGCGGTCTGGGAACCGCTCCTACAAATACATGATTTATAGAGACGGTATGGTAGGGGTGGCTGGCCGAACCGCCGCTACAAATGCACTGTAGCCGCCCCTGGAAATCATATTTGATGTAGTGGTTTTGACTTTCAGGTACAAAGTAGTAGAGGCAGTTTGATGCAGAAGAAGATCAAAGTGCTCATGATGGTGGTTATGTTCCATGAGAGATGAAACATTTCTCAAAAGAACATTATGGTTGTGCAAGGGCTGTCCATGACAAACATCTTGCTTATGTAGATACTTGAGTGATCTAGCTTGATTGTGAGTATTTTATATAAAACTTTGTACAAGTACTAATACTGATGGCTTCAATGGAAATTGCGAGCATGATTTAGCAAGTTCTATATTTAATGTTGATCATGAGCTTGGATGGTTAATGTTAAAATGGATGATGCTATACGGTTACTGCAAGATTAATTATTTGTTCATATTATGCTAAGTGTTAGATAGTTTTGCCGCTAAATATATATCATTAGGCAGTGTGCCGTAATAACTTTATAATAGGCATCAGGCAGTTTGTCGTTATATCTACTAAACAGCGCCCGACGGTCGGTCGGTCGTTTTGATTTATACCGACACCGGTACCAACGACACATAAAAGGGTCGGTACAGATACATAACGACCGACTGTATGTCGCTGGAACGGCTTATAACAACACATATGGACACGCTAAAGATGGGTGTTGTGGTACTATGAGTTTGCAGCAGCAGCAGCAAATGAAATGGCCGAATGAAATCCTAACTTAATCAACTAATCTGGTTGTGGTCCCCATGGAGCAGCTCACCTATGCCGCTCGCAGCAGCCAGAGCGGAGATCACCTGCGCGCCTCGTGGGGGCAGGGAGCTTGCCCGTGCGCCGGGACAAAGCTCGGTTGCCGAAGATGCTGGAGCTGCGCTCGCCATCTTCGGTGTTGTCGACTAGCTAGGAGCAAGGTGCGGACGAAAAAGGGGAGTAGCATATATGGATGTGGATAGAATGGATTTTGGTGCGGAAGAGGCGAAATCGCGTGTGCCCCATCTCGCCTGGAGACAAGCGTGCCCTACAATGCTGCTCTAAGCCGGCGACGGGACCTAGGAGCCCGCGTCGAGCTTGTCGTCTCGCGAGACATCGAGTCTGCTCTCTCTCCTCAGTCAATAGGATTCGAAGGGGGGGTTCGCAAATTACGTACACATTACACAGAGGAGCTTGCCTGCGCCGCCGAGCTGGAGGTCTGCTCGCGAGCACGCACGCGCAGCTGCGGGAGCACGCTGGCGCAGCCGCGCTCGCCCGAGCCGCCGCGGGAGCTCTGCTCGCTCGCCGCAGCACTGGAGCTCTGCTCGCCCGACGTCGGTGGTCCGCGTGCGCCCACCGGCAGCCGCGTGCGCTCGTCCACCGGCAGCTCGCACGCCGTCCGTGCTCCGCGTGCGCTCGCCCACCGGCAGCTCGCCTGCACTGCGTGCGCTCGCCCGCGACGCCGAGCTCGCAGGCCGGCCGCTGCGTGCAGGCTCATCTACGGCAGCATGCGCGGGAGCGAGGGCGGCGACTGCATGCACGCGCGCAATTCGTTGCCAAGCTTTCTACCACGGAGAGAGAGATTGTGTCGGCTCTGTCCAAGAGCGTCGCCACCTTGAGGTCCCACCGCTAGCTCTGGTGACTGGCGCACAGGCAACTATAGCTGCACATGGATGGAATGGAAGACGAACGACGAGCGGGGCCGTGGTGGCCGTGGCAAAGCACGGTGAGCACGGGCTGGTGGCATGGCGGAAGACGATGTATATAGGAGAGAGAAAGGAAAAAAGGCAACATTTATTGGGTCAAGAAACCTCCACTGTATGCGATAGTTTCTATACATGATTTCTCGATGACGTGGCTGTTAG